TTTTATGTAATATTTTTATAATATTAATTTTAGATATTAAATTTAGCTTTTTTATAAATTAATTTTTCTATATATGACTTTTAAAAAAAATTAAATTTATGTTAATTCTACTATAAATTATAATTTCTAGCTCGATCTAAAACAATAAAGGACAAAGAAGCTTATTTTGAACTACGTAATGCATTAATAGAGCATTTTGGGAGCACCGTAGTGATCTTGAAGTTGAATATTATATTTATGTAGAATTTAAAATAATTTTTTCAATTATGTAATGTTTATTTAATTTTATTTCATTAATGATTTCACTTTTATTTGTATTATCCATTATTATGTATAATGTATAATATTTGCTAGCAATTTATATTATTTAAAAAATTATGGTACAAAATAATTTTATATTAAACGATTATAAAAAGAAATAATATGAATTATATATGGTGAATGTTTAAGAAAGAATTTGTTTTATGAAATACTAAGAAATAATAATATAATAATGAAGAGAGAGAAAAATATTCATTTTTGGTGTAAAATTTGGTGCAGTGGGTTGGTGTAGATTATACCAAAAATAGTGCTGACACCAAATTTGATGTAAAATTTGGTGTTTGGGTTGGAGATGCCCTAAGTCAAGGACTTTATATGCCAAATGACATAAAAATGATTTATTAATTTGCTATTGAATTATCAGTTAACCCGTTAAGAAAAAATCTTAAATCGTTAAAAATCGATAACCCGATAATAAAAAAACTCAAAACCGTTAAACTAATAACCCATTACGGATAAATCAATAACTTTTTTTTTGATTTCGAATTATTGATTTCGATTCGATTTTGAACCGCCCTACTTAGAGTTATATGCTCATGATCTTTTAGTCCTCTTTCAACAATTATTTTCCCTTTAGAGTCAAAATCAAAATTTAAAATTTACGAATTATTATTTAACAATGAAATATAATTTATTGCTCGGTTATTAATATTGAGTTAAATATTCATACATATTTAGAATTTCCTAATATAACTACAAATTTAAGAGAAAGCCATTAAATATATTCATCTCATGAATCTATAGCTAATATAATAATAGCTTTGCTCGATGACCTAACCTATCTCTCAAAGATATAACTGAATCTACGTAATATTTGTAAAGTGAAACAAAAGACATGGGATCAATCAAAGGCGTAGCAAGAATTTAATGTTTGAGGGTTCTAAATTTTATAATAGAACTATATATTAGTCTAATATAACAACTGTTAAATTACAAAGAAATATATATAACCACAAACATATAAGCATATCATTACCATTGCACTCGACAAGTTAATATGTTTTGAAAACGGTAAATGATACATTATTTGGTACACTTTCAAATACTTTATTTATTAAAATGAAGATTTGAGTTATTTATTTCAAAATTCTAAAATATTATTTGGTAAAAGGTAGATAAGTGTTATATTTTAGCATAAATTTTGAACATCTTTTCTATAATCTCAATATTATTTTAAGTAAAATTAAAATTATTAAATTCACCATTAATTTTTTTGGGATCTAAAAGGAAGTATTTACTTGCTTCACCCACTCTTGCCTTGAAAGTTGAGGTTTCGAGAAGCAAACAATAATTTAATTAATATATCAATTATTAATATGTGGAACAGTCCTAAATTCAAAGATTAAAAACAAAATCTTTGAATAAATTGTTATACAATGTAAAGACAAATTAAAAAAAAAAAGAGAGAAAAGGGAGAGCAGAGGAGGAACTAATTAGAAGAGTAAATAGTACTTATCGGGGCAGAGATCTGCACTCTGACAACAAGCAGTAGCAAAGAAGTTGACAATAAAAATTAGAATCCTAACTTTTTTGTAAATTAAATTTTGGGTTTAAGATTTTATTGAATGCTTCAAAAGAAATCAATAGTGAGATGTTGTTTTAGAGTATTGCACTATATTTTTGTTACTTACAATTATCTATTTTAAAATTAATAGTTGGATGTTGTTATGGAATATGACACTATTTTATTTTTTCAATTATCATTTTCTGCTTTATTGTTTAAAAAATAATTTTAAAAATCCGAAAAAATTGAATTAAAGGAGGGTAAAAGACAGGCATAAAAGCACATTATTAATCCAAAATTTAAAAAATCTGAAAAATTTGAATTAAAGGAAAGTAAAAGATAGGCACAGGGCAAAAATAAAAAATCAAGTTGCGCCGGTGGGGTTCAAACCCCCATCCTAAGAAATTAGAGCAGCCCGCTCGCTTACCACTGCACCATCCACCTTAGTTTGAAGTTGGTTCGCACGTAATATTTACATATATTTGTATTTGATTTTTTAGTATGTATATAGGGTCCATGTAAAAGCAAGTGGGCTCGTCCGAATCCCTATTTGACATTGTTGCTCCGCCCTTGGAACCAATAATGGGCATAACATAATTCTAGGGATACTTTTTATTATAGACTATAATTATATTTATGCTCACCACAGGATCTGATGAAATGAATAGGATATCTTTTATGATAATAGAAGTCTCTGATTTGACGTTTGTAAATGAAAAAAAAATCCCGTATAACGACTTGGTATTGTTGTTTTATGTTTTCCGCATATTTGTTTTTTCATTTTATCATTTTCATAGCTTATGTATGATGTTTTTGATTTGTAGGAATTGATGACACGATTTTTTAGGTAATCACACAGATATTTGGTGAGTTTTTCAGTTTTGAAGGTCTGAGAATTGAGAAGATTGAAATGTATTTTCTCCCATGTGTGATTTCATTATTTTAAAATACAACTTGGGAAGCTTGAAGGCATGATTTAATTTAAAGCAAAAATCAGTGTTGCTAGAAAATTTATTCGTAAGGTAAGATTCTTGCCCTTAATATACATTTTTACTGCTAAATTATTGTTACATTAGTGATTTAATAGTGTTGGAGATTGAGGAACTGAGGATTTTTCCTTAAGCATTGAAGAATGAAAATTCTTTGATTTGGGGGTCATTTAGTTACCAATTTATCTGATTTTTGACGTACGAGTTTTACAAGTATGGGCAAATCATTTTAAAAATAAACTTTTGTGTTCGATATAGTGTTCGAGGTTGACTTTTGACTCAATTTTTTAGCCAATTATTTTTATAGCAATATGAGTGTTTGCAGACTTATTTACTCACCTAGATTTCATATTTGACTAGACTAATATCGTTCAGAGGCTTTAAAGGAGGGTAAAGTCATAATTTGACTTATTCAGGCTCTTAGTTGAGACTTTCTTTGAATCTTTATAAAATGTCAGTATATTATATTATTATTTGATTGAATAAAAGAATATTAATGATGAGAGTCCCTATATAAATGAAATAACGAACATTTATACACATATCGATATCATATTAAGAATTACATGTTTATTTTTCATGTTTAAGGTGATTTTTGGACTCCAATCTTGCATCACCGCCTCACCGGCCCTTGGGATTAAAAAAAATAGTCTTAAGGGGGTGCATTAATTCTACATCACATGACTCCAAAATACAAATTATTTATATTTATAATAATATGTCAGTGTTGATTTTGAAAAGCCAAATTACATGAAATCAACGACAATACCATATGTTTTAATTAATTAAGAGTTTGGATGCATGCACAAAAAGTGTCATCTTTTACTAGCTAGGGACACTTCATGTGTTGTATTGTTTTTGTGTTTTTGACTTTCTTAGTGTGATATTTTACTCCTATACGATATGATCTCTTTATTAATTAATTATTTTATTTTAAAAAATAATCTCCGTTTTAAAAGCCAAATTATGCATGCACATGGCGTGTTTGAGATTATACAAGATTAAAGAATATTTTGATACAATTTTACGTCAATTTAAAAATCTTTATATTGTTCTAAACTACATGTCATGTTAAAACTAGACAATCAACTTGAAACGGAGCGAATATATAATCGTAAGCTAGACCAATTCACAGGCCAATTGACATGCTTTGAAAGTGTAGCTAATTATAAATCATATACTTGAAAAGTTGTAAGTAGAAGTCATGAAAAACATTGTCATATCATGAGGTGCTAGAAGTGTGATCTAGCATGTAACCTTTTTAAAAGCATGGCTTCTAAGACAAAAAAAAAAACACATGAAAAAGCATAGCCTAAGGCCAAAAATTATACGTTAATTTAGATCACATCCAAGAAAGTATTGTCTAACATAAAAAAAATGTAACTTTTTTTTTATTAAAGGTCACACTTTTCATGATGGATATAAAGGCCTAGAATGTTGAATGTTAACCAAGGAGATATATATTACTATATTAGCTTGAAGTATTGGTTATACACATAAAAAGAACTTCCACTAATCAGATCTATATAGAGTGAATATTGTGAGACTTTTATTTTATTTTAAAAAATGATCAAAATTAACTTATATGAACTATCACGTTTTTTGTGAGATATTAATCTGATCTATCAGATTTTTTTCTGCATAAACTATCATCAATTGTTTATTAGAATACACATGAACTATCGATCGTTTCTTTTTCCTAATGAACTATCACCCCGTTCAGATAGAAAAAAAAAGAACACCTAATAATTCATAGAGAAAACTTGCAAAAAAAACAAAAAAAATTCATATGTATTTTTATCCATTAATAATCGGGTTTTTTAATATATAGTTCTTCCTTTTTTTAGACTTGTCAACTTTTCTAGTATAGTACTTCAATTATAGATCAAAGACATGTTTACATATATTATTTTTTATACGTGAATGTCAACTCTTTTCTCTCTCTGGCTATTATAATAACTAAGTTATCTGCATTTTAAAATATTATTAGTCTACATGATGATGCTTAACACAACTTTCCCTTACCTCAACATGTCATACAAAGGCTCCTAAATTCAACTTTATTTTGAATTTTATAACAATGATTTTAAGTAATATGTAAAAATTAAATTGTAAATATAATATTTATATATCTTAATAATTTTATTAATATAGATATATTGTTTAAATAAAATATATTAAATTGCTCGAATTTATAAGCAGGCTACAAGCTCCGCCCCTTATGTCTCATATATTTAAGAACTAAAACAAACAAACAAACAAAAAAACTAAGTCTCTTCCATATCCCCACCTCTCAAAATTCCTTCTTCTCTCTATCTTCTCAGCTAAAAAAATGTCGGAGACGAGGAGGTCTCCGATGCCGTTATCGGAAACGAGGTCTCCGATGCCGTTGTTGTTCCGACGACATTCGAGTGGCGAAATCAGAAATTTAGCCTCACTTTCAAGCAGCTTGTTGCCAGCTTTTGGAACAGTGATGGGTGAAAGCTCAGTTAGGCTTAAGAGATTTCTTATTGCTCCTTATGATCGTAGATACAGGTAATTAGTTTACTTCCTTTCTATCGACATTTTTTTCCGATCAACTAATACTTATTATCTTCGAAAGTTATAGTGTTTTTAATTGAGGAAAATTGGAATAAAAAAGAAATAAATTTTTATATTTGATATAAATTTTCTTTGTTTCAGTTGGTTTAATTATCTTACTTTTATTCGATACAAAATTTAAGAAAAATGAAGAGAATTTTTTACTCTTATAAACTTAAACTAATGATATTAAAAATGTTTTTTTTTAATCTGATGGTCTTTAATTAGTTTTCTTTATACGATGTTGGGTGTAAATAATTACTAAATATAAATAATAATATTATATTTTAAACCGACTAAAAATATAAGTAACATAAGCAAATTAAAATGAGGAGATTTTTACATCTCAATTTATATGAAGGTGTGTTTAATTGAGCATAAAGTATAAGAAAATAATATTTTTTCAAAGCAATTTAAAACAAGTTTGAGAAATTTCTATAGCTATAAATCATTTTATTAAAACAAAAATGCAAAATTTAAAGTCAAACTGTTTCATAAATAAATGAATACATGTCATTTTTTTGCCATTGACTTAAAATAAAAAATCGTCAAATAAATCGAAACGAAAGAAATAATTATTCATATAATACTTGTAAATAGAGTGAAAAATAAGATATAGATTATAAATTCAAATCACAAGTGTGACACTTTCTAATTTGTTGTTTAGCTAAAAACAAAATTATGTAAGATGTCAATTTTTAATTTCCAATGACACATGACACCATTGAGTTTTACGTGTGGTAGTTAGAAGTTAGAACTAATCTAATAATTTGGTATACGAGTTCTACCGAATACGAATTCATTCATTTGAAATTTTATCAACATAAAATGAAAATTTAATCGAGTCTTATTATAAATATTGAATACGGAGAGAAAAAAAAATGTTACTACTATTTGTTGATATGATTAGCCTAAATTTAAGGGACTTTAATGAAGCTTAATAGTGAGTAGAGCTTTGACTTTATGTTGATTAAAAACCATGTTCAATGGATCTGATGGAGTCTTTTGACATAATTATTGATTCAAGAGACAAAACTTACTTCTCATTGACGTTTACATTTTTGGAACTTGAGAGATCATAATTATTCTAATCTATTTATTTCTATTTGTGCATCTAATGTTTTTTAGGAAATATTACATAAATACACATCTTATTTTACTATAATTTCTAAAATTTTCTATCATATAAAAAATTACAAAAATATTTTCTCAGATATATCTCTATTCCCTCTCTGATACATCCCTCTCCTCTCAGATACATCATTCCCATTAAGTAATGTATGATCATTCTCAATCCGTGAGCTATGTACTCGCAAGTTTCCTAATGCATCCAAGATTATAGAAATTTAAAAGACTTTTGTAATTTGGGAAAGAATAGGGATAAGGTGTAATTAGTTTTTTTGCAGCTGGTTCCCTGTAAGCTCAATGCTTATGGCTTTATCCAGCATTGCTACTCTTCTTACTATGTCTAAAATGGAATCGCGAAGGCAGTTCCACCACTGAAACTTGTTTTGCTCTCGTTCGACTCGCCTCCACATGTCTTTTTTCCACTATAGTGAAAGTTCTTTCACTTCATCATAGCAGGATTAACTCTTAACGTACACTATAAGATTTATGTAATTTTTACTTTTTCTATACAATTTCTCTTTATTAAATTCTGGTCATTAAATATCCATATACATTTCTCCACTAACGTACGTAGGCAGCAAATATGCTCTAAGTTTTCCTTTAACCTCAATGATGAATCAAAATAAAACTACATTTAACCGTGGGTAAATGAAATGACAGAAGAAAACAAATATTCTTAAGGTGAATTACTATACGTTGGTTGGATTAATTTCGTTTTCTATTTTTTTTTCATATTTAATTGATCAGCTTTTTGAAAAATATTTTTTCTAGAAAAATAAATAAATAAATAACTTCCTCATAATAGTAGTAGAAAAAACAAGTTCCATCGTTTCACATTGATTACCTTCTCCCACTACCCCCACCTTCACCTCTCATAATATTTGCATATATTAAACATATATGTTTTATTTTTCACGAAAAGAAATAAGTTCACATAAATTAAAACAGATGAAGTCATTCTATTAAAACAAAAATAATTCTTACTTTTTGAACCTATGGCAAATGTAGATTGTGGCAAGCATTTCTTGTTGTACTTGTGGTGTACTCAGCATGGTCATCTCCCTTTGAGTTAGCATTCAGCAAGGCATCTACTGGAGCACTCTTGCCTGTTGATTTAGTGGTTGACACCTTCTTTGCTATTGACATTATTCTCACTTTCTTTGTTGCATACTTGGACAAATCTACTTACTTACTTGTTGAAGATCACAAGAAAATCGCGTTCAGGTACGATAAACCTCTCTAAAATAGTCATTTTTAAAATAGTATTTCATTATATTGATCAAGTTCTCTTTAAAATTAAACTTAGCTATTTTCATGTTATGTTATACTCCATAATAGTATTTGCGCGCTATAATAACTAAAGAGTATTGTGATCCGACAAATGATGTTGTTATAAAAAAGTTTGACTTTTTATTATTACATATACGTTTTTTTTACCATAACCTAGAATGTTTTGAAAGCTATTAGTAAAGTGAGGTCGAAACTCGGATAATTAGTTATTCTTACAACCATGGGCGGAGTCACCCTTAGGCGAAGGGTGGTCCGTGTACACTTAGCTTCAACACAAAATTATATATGTGATGTGCAGAGACGGAGCTAGGTGGGGTTCGTGTGTTCGGACAAGTCCAATAGTTTTTTCGTAGATTTTGTATTTGTACTAGAAAATTAAATATAAACATATATGTATATTAATTTTTGAACCCCTAAAAAATTGATTGACAGTTTAGTGGTAATGAAGGGACAATGAAAATGCTTTTCACGTTAGAGTTGCGGGTTTGAAATACTTTTCACGCTAGAGTTGTGGGTTCAAACCCCCTCTCTAAGAAATTTAGAACCCTCAAACTCTTAATCTTGACTCCGCCTCTGGTGCTGTGTAGAGGTTAAATGTTAGCTATCTATGGGTGCACATTTAATTTTGCATACTGTTAATACAACTGCGAAGAAAATTTATACACTTTTAATCAAATTTCTGACTCCATCACTTTAGGTGCATGTACCCTTTTCTATCCTTTTTTGCCAATGGAGATTCCAATTAATACAAATTTTTTTTGTGTTTGTAAAAAGGTACTTGACACATCTATGGTTTCCAATGGATGTAGCTTCAACTCTACCATTTCAAGCCATATACAGAGTTGTCACTGGCAAAACGAGTCGAGCACAAGTCTTTGGCTTCCTCAACTTGCTAAGACTATGGCGACTGCGCCGTGTTAGTAAATTCTTCTCAAGGTATATTTCTTCTGTTTACGTGACACAGTTTAAATTTCACTAGTCATATTTTTAAATTTCAACGATAAATTTGATTATGAAATTTTTCATTTTTCGAAAATAAACTTATATCAAAAATAAGTTTCACGTGACACAATTTGATGACTAACTCATGATTTTTGATTGATTTTACTTATAAATAGTTTTTTTTGGCAAATTTACTACTAGACAGTGTCTAGTGATCTTTTATTAAACATAAAAAATATCAATAGGGACAAGTACAAGCAAGGGGGGCTATGCCTTACCTTACTAATCCTAATGAAGTACCTAACTTCTGTTACCTAACAAGCATGAAGAAAATAAGAGCCAGAGAGAACTAAATATTTTTTTATCATCACAGAGTTTGTAATACACTCCATGATGATATTACAAATGAGAATGTTTAAATAATGTAAAAATATGTCAATCAAGAAAAAAGTTGAGTTACCAGCCTCAAACTTTCTATTACTAAAGCATGAATTAAAAAAGATTGATTTCCCATCAAAAGTAACTTGAAGTATTTTTTTCTTGTCTTCTTCTTCAAACCTGTCCAACAACACTTGATGATTCATACCTTCTTTACTGATTTATTGGATCTAGTTGAACCTATTGATACTGTCAAATGGTTTTGCTTTTCCTATCGCATCAGTAGGTGCCTTGGAACAAACTCCTCGGTCATTTTACCGTCCCAACTATGTTGCCTTCTATATGTCTTCTTTTTGCTTCTATTGATACTTATAAATGCTTGATTTGCAAGTTCTTGACTTTTGTCGAATGAGTATATAAATACGTTAAAAAAAATATTTATAAACCAGTTTGACCAACATAATAAACGTAAGCAAACACCAATCAACAATTTTTTTTTTTCTTGCGTTCTAGGTTGGAGAAGGACACTAGATTCAGCTACTTTTGGACGAGATATTTTAAACTTATTTGTGTAAGTACTCATAATCTTAGCTATACATTACATTAATTATTTTTTCTTGATCATAATATATACTTTTTCGACCTCAATTTATGTTGGATATTTTTCTTTTAAATTTACTCTTAAAATATATATATTTTTAAATAATTAAAAAATAAGTAATTTAGTTTTAAATTTTGCTTTAGACTATAATTCTTTTTTAACAATTCTTCTTTCTTAAATTTTGTCAAACAATTTCACATAAATTCATGAGATGAAGGGAGTAATAGAGTTTAAATATGTTCACGGGTCGGTGTAAAAGTTAATTTATAAGGTATTATATGTAGGTTAATTTTTATGTTTAGCATTAATTGATAATTATTTGATAGAAGTACAATTAAATAATAGCGTAAAAAGTATTTATATTATTATTAGTATATAACTTAAACTCCTATATACACTATTAGTTTAATGAATTGTTACACAATCATGTCAGCTCTATTTATTGTAGCAGATAATCTATCTTATATATTTTTAAGATCACAATTTTCACATTTAAAAAAGGTTTACTGATAAATATTTTTTCCATAACCCGAATTCTTTACACCAGCGGTGCTTAAACTCAATATTCTCTCCATTTAAATTTAAGTATCTTACTTTCTATTTTAAAAGTAGAATGTCTCTGGACATGTTAAGATTAAGACCACAAGTTTAAAAAATATTTTGATACATTACATATATCTATAATTTAATTAAGATTACAAGATTTAAATGTCTTCACTATTTTCTTCAATTTATGTCTAGTCAAACTAAAACACTTGAATTGAAACGGAGGAAGTATATATAATATAGACATGACTATGTATCTTAATTCTTGAAACGACATTGATCTTCATAAACAATCAAACCTTGAAGACATAATTGTTATAAAAAAGTATTGTTATAGAGAAGTCTGACGGTACGAGTGTGTTATTGTACGATAGGTGACACTATTTGCAGTGCATTCAGCTGGTTGTTTCTATTACTGGATGGCAACACGTTATCATAATTCAGAATCTACATGGATGGGAGCAAATATACCTGGTTTCAAATCAAGAAGTGTATGGTTAGGATACACTTATTCAATGTATTGGTCTATTGTTACACTCTCAACAGTTGGCTATGGTGATCTTCATGCTGTGAATATTGAAGAAAAGATTTTCACCATTTTTTACATGCTTTTCAACATTGGCCTTACTGCATACTTGATTGGCAACATGACTAACCTTATTGTCCATACCGCTGTCCGAACCTTCGTCATGGTACGTAATACTTAATTTGTCTCAATTTATGTGACATTATTTCCTTTTCAGTTAGTTTAAAGAAGCATTGAGAATATTCATTGAATGAGCATTCTCAATAAGAGAGCTCGGATCAAATCGGTATTGATATACCAATTTGATCCGAACTTTCAATTCTAGTCTCCTATTTATTAATTGAATTATAGATGAATAAGGTTCAAGGTTTAATCATGAAACCCTTGAAATAATATGATGAATCGAAATATAGCTGCTACTCTAAAACTAAGTGCAAATTTTAAAAAACTAATCAGATCAGACTGACCTAGTGAATAAATCATAAATGCAGAAATGAAAACAGTATTTGGACTACAGAATGTCAAGTAAGCTTGACTTGTCATAAGATGCAACCTTTTAGGCCAAAAGTTTCATAAGAGCAACAAAAGTCCGCAGGACCAACAAGTAAAATTATCTTCTTTTGCTTCAAGAGTACTACTACCCCATAGTAACAACAACAAATATGTTAAACTTTTAGCACGAGTAGAAATGAGAATGACATTTTTCTATATTTTATCATAATTTCTAAAATTCTCTATCATTTAAAAAAAATTCAAAAATCATCTCTCGGATACATCGCTCCCCTCTTGCTGATACATTCTTATCTCCCTCTCTCATACATCCCTCCCCTATGTATCTGCCTATCTGGATGTCTGTTGATATATCCAGAAGTTCAATGATGTATCCGAAAGTCTAGTGATGTTCCGAATTCCATAAATTTTAAGGGATTCTTGTAATTTGAAAAATAGTAGAAAAATAATTTAATTAGGTCTTAACACTATGTGATTTACGTAAATTATACAATAGTAAATGTGTGCATGCAGAGGGATGCTATCAATGAGATTTTGAGGTATGCAAAGAAGAATAGACTTCCAGAAGGGCTAAGAGAACAAATGCTAGCACATTTGACACTGAAATTCAAGACAGCAGAACTACAACAAGAACAAGTTTTAGAAGACTTGCCAAAGGCTATTAGATCTAGCATTTTACAACAACTCTTTCGTACCACTCTAGAAAATTCCCACCTTTTCAAAGGAGTCTCCGACGACTTTATTGTCCAATTGGTAATTTCTTTCTCAATTTATGTAACAGTGTTTGATCAAACAATGCAAAGTATAATATTTTTTCTTATGTCTCTTTTTATACTATAGGTATCAGAAATTAAAGCAGAATATTTTCCACCAAAAGTGGATATCGTCATACAAAATGAGATACCAACAGATTTCTACATTATTGTGTCTGGGGCTGTGGTACGTTACATTCATTCCAGCAGTCAAGTTTTAAATAATTCCACTTGGTATAAAAAGGTTTGAACTCTTAAAAATGTCATCGGGCGTGTGCCGAATACTTCAAAAGTAGTGTATTTATGAAGGATCTGACATGAATGCGATAACATTTTTGAAGTGTCCGAACAACTTAGATAAAAAGATACATTTACTAACTTACTTAATTGACCACTGCAGGATGTTGTAACATACAAGAACGGAATGGAACAAGTATGTACCTATCTCTCTTCTCTTAGACATAACTCAATAACTTTAATTTGAATTTTGTATTTGTGTTAAAAAAAATCATTAAAATAAGCATAGAAATTCAATTCAAATTCCTAAAACTAGCAAAGGAGTGGTAAATGAGCGGATCAAGTCGAATATGGGTCGATCGAAAATGAGTTAAATAAAAATGGGTAAAATATTCAACTCATATTTTAAATGGATAAAACCGAGTTACCAATGGATAATATGAGTGTCCATATTTACCCATATTGTTATAGGGATCATCTTAAAAGCTTCAAAAGCAAAATCTTTTACCCACGTCGCTTCAACCCCCTTATTCCCCCCCCCCCCCGCCTCCACTCCAACCCCAACATCTTTTACACCCCCCCCCCCCCCCCAATCCCCTTCCCAAAAAAAAAAATTGATTTTTTTCCTCATCCCTATCCCGATCCCACCTACACCTTAAAAAATATGAATGTCATTTTTCTTTCTTTTATAAATGAATCTCTTTTACCCATTTTATCCACGTAACTATCCACTTTTAAATGGGTAATATGAGTTTGACTCATTTTTTACCCACCCAACTCACTTAAGATGAATAATTTGAATGGGTACCCATATTAATTACCCGTTTTGCCATCCCTTAACTAGCATTTGAAGTTGTATTCTAGAATTAAGAACACATAAACTTCAAATCATGACTTCACATCTTAATATTTTCTTATTTCAAGAGAATGCATGCACAGAATTAAAAAAATATAGTTTTTGCTCTATTATCACAACAATATTTTAACAGACGGGATTCAACTAAACCCTTTGCTCTACCTAGCACAAATATCAAAATAAACCTCTTAGATTATTCATAATTAATTGATTATATATGTCTAATAATTTTTTTTCCCCATTATTTTGTTGTTGACAGTTTTTATCCAAGTTGGGATCTCAACAAATGTTTGGAGAAATAGGTGTAATATTCAATATCCCTCAACCTTTCACAGTGAGAACTAAAAGGCTTTCTCAAGTTGTTCGTATTAGTCATCATCATTTCAAGCAATTGGTACAACCCCTTCATGAAGATGGAAAAATAATTCACACTAATTTTATTCAGGTGTATTATCTATTTTTCCCGTGTTACTCAATTAATAGTTATTATCTTAGAAAGTCGCTTTCTTTGTTGAAGAAACTCAAAATCGATGAGAAAAAATGACTTTCTGAGATAATAACTGGTAGTTACGTGTCACACTTGTTGCTTGTTGATGTTAATTTATGGTGTTATATATCAGCATTTGAAGGGATTGAAAAAGGAGGAGCTAGCAGAGATGCCGCTAGTATCAGAATTTCTTGATGATTTAATTAGTGAGGTAATTTATTTTATGTGCAAAACCTATATATGAAATCAATTAAACAGAATATCAACTTAAATTCATACAGTAATTATTTTGAGGATGTGTTGTTATGTTAGTGAAAAATGTTAGGCTAAATACATCAACAGTCTTTTAAATTTGTCAGACACTCAAATTATGACATGTTCCTATAAACTCATGAACATATGATAATGTTTTTCTTTTAGACATTTTTGTTTTAAATTTTTGTGCGCGTGTTCAAGCTCGCAGTATGTAGTCATAAGATATATTAACTCCTTTAATTATACAAGTGAACATCAATTGGAACAAGCATAAAGATTTAAAGATTTACGACTAATTGAGGCTAATGTGTATATATATATATATATATATATATATATAATTAAAGGAGTTGACATATTTGAGTGGTTAATGTATGTGTATAATGGACACTTGAATACACACGATATAATCTTTTTCAAAATATAGTCAGAATACACACGATATAATCTTTTTCATACTGTTCAGGTGCTCATCGCAATATATCATAGTTTAAGTATATATCTAAATGAAAGTTACTAGCAAATTTAAGGGACGGACTATATCCATGTATTCGGCCAAAATGTTACTAAGATTTTTATTCTTTCATGGCATAGTTAACATGCAGAACAAGCTAATTTTATAAGTGAACCAAATAGAGATGCAGAGTCCAAATCTTTTGAATAACTTTTTATGTTTGTCTCATTTTCTTGCAGGAAGTCTCAATGAATGAGGCTGGAGCTCAAAACCAACAAGAAAACGGTAACCTGTCTTATTTTCAAGATTACAAATCTCACATTTAATAACGCTTACATATAAATATCGTGACCGCATTGATATTATGGATTCCCAACTTCTCTATGTGTTTACTTCTTTATATTTTAGATCTTGATTTTGTAGTGATTTTAATCCCTCATTTTGTGTGCAGAAATATCCCCAACTACTTCTTCCCTGTCGAAAACGCCTCCTACAAGAGTGATAATTCACGGATATCAACCGGACCATAAGCCAAAATCAGGAGGAAATGCAGGAAAACTAATCCATCTACCTGATTCAGTTGAAAATCTCCTATCTATAGCAGGTGATTAGTATATTCAATGGCTATTCTCACAGTTATTTTGATTGAATCGGTGGGAAAAGAAAAAATAATAATGTTTTCATACAGAAAAATTAGGAACTTTCCCACTATTTCAGTGATCTGTTTCCCACCATGCATTTTTTCAGTGAGCTGGTTCGATAGGAAATAAGTGAAAAAACCATGTTCTATAGCACAAACTTCACACTTATTCTCTGTGAGAAAAAACCTTTGTTTCTAATAGTGTGTTAGCTACGAGTTATATATAGCAATAGTTAGCAACAAAGTTCATAATTAATTCCAGGTTTTTGTAGTGTTTTATCTTTTCGAATCAATGATAAGATTACAAGAAATTATAAATCATGACAAATATTCAGAATTATGTCTAATTAATTATATAATTTGGTGGATGCAGAAAGTAAGTTTGGGAGAAGAGGAACCACAATTGTCATGGCGGATGGCTCTCAAGTGGAGGATTTGGCTGCACTGCGAGAGGATGATCACTTGTATATTTTTTGAGGAAAAAAAACAAATGTACTGCAGATATTGTGTGTGTTGATAGCCATATCATCATATATGGATAATAGTATGTTGAAGCTTACAGTAAATATATGGTAATGAGATTGAACATAATAGCATAAACAACTCTATGCATAATGTTCTTTCTGTCTTTGCACTTTGAAAGAAATATCTAGTATTCCCTTCGTTCATTTTTACTTGTCAATTTTGAACTGTGCACGTACCTTAAAAAACAGTGATTGAGATGAACATTTTACCATAAGGTGGGGTTGGGTATACTAGTTGTCGTTGCTCTATAGTAAGCGGTTTGTGAGAGTTCGACAGGCCGATAGGTGGGTGAGAAAGGGTAGAGGGACAAGGCCGGACAACACTCCTTCGCCTAACATGGGTCCGCCCCTGATTAGCTTCCGTTTTGGACATCGTGGTGGAAAATTTTTATGATGGTAGAGGCACAAGTATAATATGATATATGAGTAATTATTTTTTGATTAAAAATTGTGTGATCCCCACCTTTTTCATCTTATGGCTCTATCTTTCTTTCTCCTTAACTCCTCATCTTCTACATTTCTTTCTTTTTCTCTTTTTAATTTTTTTTAAGAATCTCATAGTGTAAGGAACAAATTATATATCATCCTTACTCTTTTTGTAATTACGATAATCCCCTAAAATTTGTTACTTTTCGGATACATAAGTCACCATTCGAATACATTAATTTTGATACAAGAAATATTCATCTGTTATGCTAAAACAAGGAACAAAAACTGAAAATCTAATTAAATCTCATAAAATACGCTTACGTTTCTTCTTACTGTCAATCAGACAGGCAAATCCTAACCGAACAAAGAAATTCAAAATTCAAATTTCTTCTCCATATTCATCAAAGAAAATGAAATAAACTTATACTAAAAATGTATATTACTTAAACTCAGAATGTTGTTATTTAGCAGCACGGAAATGGAACGCAGTAGCAATTTTTTGTTGGAAGGCAAACTGGAAATCCACCATTAAAAAACGTACACAACCCTTTGCAATCAACATTAAAATTGCATTCGTATTGCTTTGCGCCTGTATCCGAGTGTGCTAAACCTTTCATAAATTTAGTACCTGCAAAATATTATAAAGCACAATAATTAATAATATAATTCAAAATATTTAAAAGACATGAAAATTTGCATCAAATAAAAAACTCATTTAACTCCTAAAATATAAAAAGTGCAACATAAACTAAAACACTAGAGATGAGGGTGGGGTGGGGGCACCAAAGAGGGGGGGGGGGAGGAGTAGAGTCAATGTTGCATTAATAATAATTGACTAATTAAGGACTACTGATTGTTGAATGGTGTGATTAGTTTGTGTTTATCTAAAACTTTAAACTTTTAGGCCACGACTAAAAATATTAAGACCTAAAATTTTACATATGATACATTACTTCTCAAAAAAAAAAACAAATAAACAAGTGTTTTAAGATTTGTGTGTATACAAAGGAGCGGATTCAAAGTTGTAGTTACAAATTTATATGATTTCAATATTTTTTGCTAATACCTGATATATGTATTGAAAAATTCACTAAAAATATTTGATTGTTAATTCAATTAATATTGTAAGTTAATTTGAAATTACTATAAAAATTTATGAACTTAAAATTTTGAATTCGTTTGTGTGTGTGTGAGAGAGAGAGATAGAGGAGGAGGGAGGGAGGCAAACCTGTAGTGAAAAGAAGAAGAAGAGTGACCACCAAAGCCAACTTTGAATAACAAAAAATCATGTCTTAAGCTTTGAATTTGCAAGAAACAATGGTATTTATTTAGTTTGTGTTAAAAGATAGACACCCATATATATATAGTTAGTTTTTAATTAGTATCAGATTAATAAATTTAATTCATAGTCATATATAGAAAATTTGACTTTTGGTAGTAACAAGTGACAAATGTAACAATTAATATCTTCTTCAGAAATTCATTTAATTCTTATGGGTAGAAATTAGAAATTTCTTTAAGTACTTTCTTTTTTTGACCCATGATGACTGGACACTCTAAAAAATATTATTAAGAGTATATTTTATTAAATTCATTTTATCAATGATATTTTGAAAACTTTGAATTTGATTATTGATATTTTATATAGTTATTTAATATTAAAATAATATAAAAAAAGTATTAAAACACTTAATTTGTTAAAATGAACAAGTGAAAAAGGGAAAAATTATTTAATGGCATTAAGTGAATGAAATGAAGAAGGTAGTAAATTCTATTACCCATATAGTAAATATATAACAATCCTATGTACTTTTTGCTAAACTTACTCTAGTACTTTATGTTGACACCCAATTTTGGGCCTCCACAATATAGATTAATCATCGAGCTTCTTTAATTTCAAACGATTTCAAATAATTAGTTTTAGAAAATTAAAAAAATAAAATAATATATATATATATAATTAAATAAAAATATTTTCAAGTCATTTTAAATAGTTTATCACTTATTTATAATTTTTAAATAATATACGTGTTATGTATATAATTACCATATTTTATGAATATTCAAAAATCGTCTCAAAAGAGTTTGTTTTAATTAAATATTCAATTAAATTAATTTGGTTTAAAATACTTATAAGTTATTTAGTTTATTAGTTTAATTATTCTTATTTTATGTTATTTTATTTTGTTGATTTGAAAAGTGCATTTTGTTGATTTACGTTCTTTAAGTTTTGGCGGTAGTTTATGTTAATTAGTTTATAATCGAATTATTTATTTTATTTATTTTATTTCGTTAACATTAAGAAGCTCATTAATTAATTTATATTAATTCGTCTTATTTAGTTACTAGCCGAATTAACTAAAATAATTCAATTTGGCTAGATTGTTAATTCATCTACCTAACCCTTTATTGCAATTCTAGCCATTTATTCCCTCACCCTAACTCAAATTTGAGACCAAGTTGGCCCAATTCTATACCAAAACCCATCCCCTTTTGTTTTCCAATTCAACCGAGACCCATTCCCATTCCATTTTAATTCCCGTTAATTCCCAACTAATTAACTCAACCGACACAGCCCACCAAAACTCATTTCACGTGCCTAACTGTCAGCCCAATACATACTTACACAATACTAAAATAATAACAACAACATACACCAACTGACCCACTCCAACTTTCCCTCAATTTCCAGCCCAATTCCCCAATACCTCTGACCCGGCCCACTTTATAATTCTAAAGAGACCCAGGTACTCGACCTCAACTGAACAGAGAAAATTCACAACGATTCCAGCAACAAGAAAAGGCGTGAAAACACGGAGATACGAGAAAAGCAGTGAGGAATGCGTAACAGCAGAAGGTAGCGTTATTCCTTGTCTTCTTTCGCCCAACGCCCCTCTCTGTTTTGTACGATTCGCAGCAGCACGCAACTGTCCTATTTCCTCTTTCGGAATGGGACGAAACTTGCAAGAAAAAGGTTGTTTCGCTTTAATGGTGAAATTTTTTGAAATTCAAATTTTGGATGGGAATTCGTCCAAAATTTTCACCTGTTTTCCCCCTTTTTTGGTCCAGCCCAAATCCCCATCTATATAAGCCTCCCTCTTCTTCATCCTGAGGGGGTTGGGGAAAAAAAGAAAGGGGATTAGAAATTTGGTATTGGAAAAATAGAGTTAGAGAATTCGAAAAGGAAACAGAGAGCCTGAGGTGGGAGACACTTTCAATACATGGAGTTTATACAAAATAGGGAGGAAATATAAAGAGCTCCATGGCCTAAATATAGGATTATTACTTTTCTTTCATCGAAAACCAAGAATTTTATCCTATAGCAGAGAGATTTTCAGTTTCTTCTATTCGAATTCGAAGCGGTTTTTTCTTACCTTCCGGAGTTTATCGAAATCGGCTTAGCTCACAGTGGCGGAATCTTCTTCATACTCAGCTCGTTGTTCTCAGTTCAGCTGTCCGAAAAAAGGTAATAGCTACTCTTTTGTCTACTTTCCATTTCAAATCCGAGTATCATGTGATGAATCTTTCTCTGTTGGGTCTTCCTTTGCTTCATTCTCAGTTGGGTCGAATGTGAATGGCCATGGTTTATTACCTTAGCTGGTGGAATTCTTGGTTGATCATTGTGTTATTCCTCGATTAGAAGATCGAGTCAGTTTGTAGTTGTTTAAGTTTGTCTTTCATGTTGTTTCGAATCATATGTTTGCCTTGCTTCGATTCTTATACCTAATGTGCTCTTAAGCATAAGCTCCTTTGATATTATATATTGGTTGTTAGATCCTTTGGCTCAAATTTTGTTTCTTGGAAGCTAGTTAGGTCTCCGTTTTGCTTTGTACGAAATTGCTTAAAGTTCATTTGGTCCAGCTATGTGTCGTTAGTTTTTTTTTTTTTTTTTTTTGTTCTCAAGCAAAGAAAATCAGCTTGTTCCATGTTCTTAGTCTGTAAGACTCATATGACTAGTAGCTTTAATCATTGATAGATATATAATTTTACTTCATTCCTTTTTTATTAGCATGCCCTTTTCTCTTTATATAAAGTTATGTTAACCACTGATTATTTGTTTACCATAATGTGGGCTGCCCTATAAATTTTATCGTGGCATATATGTATATATCGGAAAGTGTCTCTAGTGTGGTCTTTTCTTCGGATTAGTCATGTGTTTTGGGTATTGCTGCCCAACCACACTATTTTCAATGGACATTATTTATGTAGTTTATGCCATCGTTTAACATGTTGATTTAAATAACGATGTCATTTTATTTAGTTCTTTGATTATAGCTACTTTCTTCTTTTTTGCTTCAAGTGAGTTAGCTTGACCCTTTAGTGTGATAAGCTGGTAGCTCTAGGTCTCCATGGATAAGCGGGTATCGTTTATTGCATAAAGTGTAATGTTTGTCTAGTGTGCATTATGCTATCTCTATTTTGTTTATATTTGGGGTCTTGTTATGTGTTAATCATTTGTTCATAATGGGAGCTGCTTTTGCTATGCCTTGTCTTACTCTCACTTAGTTATTGTAAGTTTTCAAA